GTACACCTCTGGTTACAGCTACTTGGGAGGCTGACGCAAGAAAATCACTTAAGCCCAGGAGGTCAAACCCAGGAGCACTGAATATGGTGCTGTATTCACACCAGTGTACTCCAGCCTGGGTGAGAAAGTGAGACCCTGTCTCAAAAAACCCCCACAAAAACATTAAAAGTGGAAGGGGAATAATAGTGTAGTGTTATGGATTGAAGTTAAGTTGTTACCAGCTTAAAATAGACTTTTGTTAAGTATAAGATATTATAAGAAGGCCTCATGGTAATCATAAAGCAAAAACCTACAGTAGATATACAAAAGATAAAGATAAAGGAATCAAAACCTACCACTATAGAAAATCCTAAAATCACAAAGGAAGGCAGCAAGAGAAAAAGAAAGGAAAAAAGGATATATACAAAACAGCCAGGAAACAATTAACAAATGGCAATAGTAAGTCCTTACCTGTCAATAATTACCATAGTGTAAATTCTCCAATCAAAAGACATAAAGTGACTGAATGGATAAAAACAAGACCCAAAAATATGCTGCCTACAAGAGACCCACTTCACCTGTAAGGTCACACAGACTGAAAGTGAAGGGATGAGAAAAGGTATTACATGCAAATGGAAACCAAAAGAGAGCAGGCTAGGCATATCTATATCCAATAAAACAGACTTTAAATAAAAAACTGTAAAATAAGACAAAAATCAATATATAATGATAAAGGAGTCAATTCATCAAGAGAATAATTGTAAACACACATATATCCAACACTGGAGTACCTAAGTAATATAAAGCAAATATTAATAGATATGAAAGGAGAGATAGACATCTATAAACAACAGGAAACTTCGATACCCCATTTTTAACAATGGACAGATTTAAGCAGAAAATCAATAAGAAGCACTGGATTTCAACTACACCACATAGACCTAATAAACATATACAGAATACTCCATCCAACAGCAGCAGAATACACATTCTAATCAAGTACATACAGAACATTCTCCTGGAGAGATCACAGCTAGACCACAAAACAAGTCTTAGCAAATTTAAGAATACTGAAATAATATCAGGCATCATTTCTGACCATAATGGTAAGAAACTAGAAATCAGTTAACATGAGAAAAACTAGAAATTAACAATGTGTGGGAATTAAACAACATGATCTGGAAAACTCAATGGGTCAAAGTAGAAATCAAAAAGAAAACTTAAAAAATATCCTGATACTAACAGAAATGGAAACACAACACAGTAAATTTATGGGATGTAGCAAAAGCAGCCCTAAGAGGGAAGTTTATACTAATAAACATCTATATTAAAAAAGGAAAAATACTTCAAATCACCTAACTTTACACCCCAAGGAACTTGTAAAGAAGGTCAAACTAAACCTAAAGTTAGTAAAAGGAAATAACAAAAATCAGAGCAAAAATAAATGCTCTGATAGGTAACACATTAGTGAAAAGCTAAAATCTTTTCCTCTAAGATCAGGAACAAGACAAGGATGTCCACTCTAATAATTTTTATTCAATATAGTACTGGAAGTCCTAGCAAGAGCACTTAGGCAAGAAAAAGAAATAAAAGGCATCCTAATATAAAAAAAAAAAAAAGAAGTAAAATTGTCTCTGCTGGCAGGTGATATGCTCTTATACACAGACAACTCTAAAAGCTACACCAAAATATTATACAACTAAGAAACAAATTCAATAAAGTTTCAAAATACAAAATCGACACACAGAAATCAGTCACATTTCTATATAATAACAGCAAACTAGATGAAAAAGAAATTAAGAAAAAATCCCATTTATAACAGAATAAAAAAGAACAAAATACCTAGGAATTTAACCTAAAAGGTAAAAGATCTGGACACTGAAAACTATATAAACTATTGATTAAAGAAACTGAAGACACAAATAAATAGAAAGGCATCCCATTCTTTAATGAGATGAATCAGTATTGTTAAAATGTACAAACCACCCAAAGCAATCTACAAATTCAGTGTAATTTCCATTAAAATTCCAATGGAATTTTTCACAGAAATAGAAAAAAAGCATTAATTCATATGGAACCTCAAAAGATCCCATATAGCAAAAACAATCTTGGGCAAAAAGAACAAGGCTACAGACATCACCCTTCCTGATTTCAAATTTTATTAACAAAGCTAAAATAATCAAAACAGCATAGTTTTGCACCAGCACTGCATTAGTGTTTCAATAGTTACATAGTCTCACCAACACTTGGTATGTGGTATCTTTTGAATTTTAGAAAAAATGCAGCTGGAAAAGCTGGAAGAAGACGAAGAAGAAGAAAGAAGAAGAAGAAATAATAATTAGATCCTTAACTTATACCATACACACAAAAGTCCATCCCAAATGGATTAACAAATTAAATGTAAGACCTAAAACTATAAAACACCAAAAACAAAACAGAAGGAAACTCCATGACACTGATCTTGGCAATATTTTTTTTGTATATGATACCAAAAGCACAGGCAATAAAAGCAAAAATAAACAAGGAGGCCTACATTAAACTAAAAGGTTTCTGCATAGCAATGGAAAGAGCAAATGAAAAGATGACCCACAAACGGAAGAAAATATTTGCAAAATGGATTTCTGATAAGAGGTTAATATAAAAAAGATATGAAGAATTTATACAATTTAATATGAATACAAATTACCTGATTAAAAAATGGGCAAAGGACCTGAATAGACATTTTTCCAAGGAAGACATTCAAACTGCTAACAGATATATGAAAAGATATTCAACATCACTAAACACCAGGGAAATGAAAATCAAAACCACAATGAGATATCACCACATACCTTTAAGGATAGCTATTATCAAAAAGACAAAAGAGAACAAATATTAACAAGGATGTGGCAAAAAGGAAACCTTTACACAATGTTAGCAGGTATGTAAATTCGTGCGGTCATTATGGAGAACGGTAAGGAAGTTCTTCAAAAAATTAAAAATAGAACTGCCATATGATCTAGCAACCCCACTTCTGGGTATATATGCAAAAGCAATAAAATCACTATCTCAAAGAGATATCTGCACTCTCATGTTCATTGCAGCATTATTCACAACTGGCAAGATATGGAAGCAACCTGTAACTGTCAATGGATAAATGAATAAATTGTGGTATATACACAATTGAATATTATTCAGTCATAAAAATAGAGGAAATATTGCCATCTGTGACGCATGGATGAACCTGGAGGAAGTGAAATAAGCTAGACATGGAAAGACAAATACTGCATGATATCCACTTATGTGTGGAATCTAAAAAGTCAGACTCACAGAAACATAGTAGAAGGGTGGTTACTACATGTCAGGGAAAATGCGGAGAAGTTGGCAAAAGAATACAAACTTGCAGTTACAAGAGAAATAAATTCTAGAGACCTGATGTACAGTTAATAATAATGTAATGTACACTTGAAATTTTCTGAGAGAGTAGATTTTATTTTGAATATTATCACACAAAAAAAGTAACTCTGTAAAGTGATGGATATAACAATTAGCTTACTTGTAGTAATCATTTCACTATATATACATATATCAAAATATAATGTTGTACATCTTGAATACATATAATTATTATTCATCAATTCTACCTTGACAAACTAAAAAAGAACTCTAAAAAAATTAAAAACAGAATTATCACATGATCCAGCTATCCCACTGCAGGGTATTTATCCAAAAGAATTGAAATCAGGACCTAGAGGAGAGATGTGCACTCCCATGTTCACTGTAGCATTATTCATAAGAGCCACGAGATGGAAACAAATGTCTATAAACACATGAAGATATAAAGAAAATGTTATATAAATACAATGAAATATTATTCATCCTCAAGAAAGGAAGAAATTCTGTCATATGCTACAACATGGATCAACATTCGCATTATGCTAAGTGAAATAGCACAACCAGAGAAGGACAAATACTACTCAATACTCCACTTACGTCTCTTAATAGTTAAATTCAGAAACAGAAAGTAAAATGGTAGATGCCAGGGGCAGACTAGAGGGGGAAATAGGGAATGCTGTTCAAAGGATACAGAGGTTCGGTTATGTAATATAAAAAACTCCAGAGATCTACTTTACAACACTGTTCTTACACTTAACAATACCAGTTTATACACTTAAAAATTTGTTAAGAGAGGCCAGGCCCAGTGGTTCACACCCATAATCTCAGCATTAACATAAGTGTGAACTACCATTTTTCTTTTTCCTTTAAGTTCCAGGGTACAAGTGCAGGATGTGCAGGTTTGTTACATGGGTAAACATGTGCCATGGCGGTTTGCCCCACAGATCAACCTATCACCTAGGTATTAAGCTATTATTATTTTTCAGTGTTCATAGATGCAATGAAATTAAACCTTACTGAATCTGTAGAACCTCTGTTTCTGACATCAACAGATACTAAAAGCAAAACCACTAACGTAGAGGTCTTCAAAAACTCATTCTCCCAAGCTTACCACTGTAGGCTGCTTCAACTGATATCTTCGGCTATCAAATAAGTACATAAGAAAGGCTAAGTATAGTACTAAGCATTCAATTAACAGATGTTCCACCACATGCTCCTATTTCTCTGTTATGGCCTTTCATTATATTCAAAATCACCCTTTTTCTAAGCAACTGCCAAACCTGTGCTTTGTGTTTTCTTATACTGTTCATATCCCAGAATAGAATTTAAAGTTATAAAGGTAAACAAAGTCAAATATATTCCATACCTAGAAGAGCTCTGTAAAAGCTACTTCAGTTAATAGTTGAAGTTTTTTGCAAATGTAAGGTAAGATTACTAAAAGTGTGATTCCTAGTTAAGTGTAGCATTGCCAGTCGGTGACTGACCTGAGGAAAATTGTTCACTGCACGTTGAGGTTCCTACAACTGCTTTTCAATAATCCTCTCAGAAACTGAACTTAACAAATAATTTTCGTTATAAAATACACTATAAGAAGCAGAGCTATAGTTATAATAAACTGTTGGTTGTTTAAAGGTAATTTAGTTTACCTCAAAGAGTTATTCTCTGCTTTTTGTCTGCCAAGTTCACTTTCAGTATCCATTGCCTTTCTGGCTAGTGATTTCATTTCTTTTTCCACAGTGCTTATGGTTTCCTTCATCAAAGTCATATTTGACATTTGCTCCATACGTTCATCATCAAGCTATACAAGTAGAATGACAAGGTTACTGACATCACTAAAAATGCCTTAGTAATCTTCCTAAAGGGACATATTCCCTCTGTACAAATTGGTTTATAGCAAGATTGACGTGATGAGATGATCAGGTTAGACCTGACTGCTGTAGAAGGTTTTATGGATAAGGTGTTGTGAAGTGGGACCAAGAAGAAGTCACTGCAAAGCTTTTCTATAAAGCTTATCACAGTATATCAGTCTATATTTTTCAGTCTGGTTCAGTTTTACTATAGTATACATATCCTATTTGCAAAAGGATTTTTTTGCCCAAAATTAATAAATTATGTAGGATTACATAATTGTACATATCATGCAGGATTATAAAAATAAAAAATGTTTTCTCTTGTCTAGTATTTTTTTTTTTTGAAAGGGAGTCTTGCTCTCTCACCCAGGCTGGAGTGCAGTGGCGCATTCTTGTCCCACTGCAACCTCCACCTCCCAGGTTCAAGCAATTCTCCTGTCTCAGCCTCCCAGGTAGCTGGGACTACAGGAACATGCCACTATGCCCGGCTACTTTTCATATTTTTAGTAAAGACAAGGTTTCACCTTATTAGCCTGGTTTCAAACTCTTGACTTTGGGTGATCCACCTGCCCCAGCTTTCCCTAAGTGCTGGGATTACAGGCATGAGCCACCACGTCCAGTCCCTGTCTAGTGCTTTTTATTCATTATAAATATAATGAATGATTCATTTATAAATATATTCTATTTGGCAATAGAAAGTTAAATTCCCTTAATTATGTTTATATAGTGACAATATCATCAACACATATTCATAGCATATAAAATCTTTAGGAAAAATGTGATGTTTCACATTTAAACTCAGTTTAAATATATTTTGCTTATAATTTTTACTTCATCATAATTTTCTCTATCTTATCCATTCTTTAGGTAGAAAAACCCATTTTCTTTCCATCTGACAATATTATCTTTAACAAAATATGGAGATGAGAAGGTTGCTAAGATCCCTGAAAATTAATTCCTAATGATTTTTTTAAGTACATACTTTGCAACCTAACAAAAACAAAAAAAAATTTACTCACATTTTTAGAAGGAAATAAGCAAGTAAAAAAGTGACAATTTACACCATAAAATACCTTAAGTATTTTAGGACTACAAACACTATCTTAGAGAAATAAAAAAACTTCTCTGAACACAGAAAAAGGGGAAAGGGGGAAGTCATTGAGTGTTTATAGCCAGAAGAGATTTTTTTTTTTTTTTACATTATGAACTGTACACTCCAGCTCCTCTATCCTTTGTTCCAGGTGAGCCTTCTCATTAAATGCTGTCTCTTGAGCAATCTGTTTAAAAAGCAAAAATAAAATGAATTCAATATCCCTGCATTTGTGTTTCACATATGTTCACATAAAATCCTTTCCAACCTTTAGCCTTTCCCTTAGACTATCTCGTTCTGTGGTCATTCTTCGTAAATCAGTGAAGGCTACATCTCTTTCAGTCTCCACTCGCCGAAGAATAGCATGTGCTGTTGTTGATTTAGGATTTTTACAGCTTTTCATCATTTCTCGTCGAAGTCGGGCAATTTCTTCCTGTGCCTATTATTGAAATCATAGAATTTGGTTTAACAAGCTTTAGAAAACATAAATATAGCTATCTTATATCTAGGCAGTAAAAAGGCAAACCTACCTCAACATGCATGCAGCAGGATAATGGTATGACTTTTATTTTAAAATGAGTTTATACAAATAAATGAAAATGGATTTATTTAAATAGAAGTTCATGTTACAATATCTTTGCCAAAAGTTTAAACTAAAATTAATTTGCAGGAAGTCATTGCAACAGAGAATGTTTTGTATACTCTATTTATTCATTTTGTGGTATAAATTTAAATTCAGCACAATTTAGGCAGACTACTGGTTTAATGAATATTATCATAGTGTTTCAGTCTTTCTAAATATAAATGTATATGCCATTTCTATGTCTTGATTACTTTTACTCTGACAGAAAGGCCCACCAATCCTTACTGATAACCCAACATACTCTTTGAACATCTGTTCAACCATCCTTGGGTCCCAAATCTATTCCACACCTGCAGATTATTTAATATCCTAGTTTGCTGCACACGTCTCCTTATCTTCCTTCCTCTTGATTTTGATCACTGTCTATTCAGATAGTCTCTAAGCCTCAGAGGAAAATATATTACTTTTCAATTTACATAGCTAAGCCTTCACCAGAAGCCCAAGCCTCATCTCCTAAAATGTCTTCTACGATCTCCCTGACTCAATTATAATTATTTCTTCTCATCTTGAATAGTACCCTCTTCACTGGCACTTTCTCCCCTGCCTTCTGTCATGTACAGGGCTCCCTTATCTTGAAAACCTGTCACTTGACCTGCTGACCCATTTACCATCCTATGCCTCTTCTTCCTTTGACACATTAAAAAAGTCCCATGGTAACTATTGCCAGTAGTTCTTTACCATCTACTCTATCATCCCAGAATAACCTGGCTCACACCCTCCCACCCTCTGTGGAATTTCAACTAAAGTCCTAACCAGATATAATGGCCTTTTTTCAGTTCCTGTTCTCCTTGAGATTTCAGTGGTATCTATTGCTATTTACAACATCCTTCTTCTTGAGATTCCTTCCTCCCTTATAACACTGTTCCTCCCTAGCTCTCTGTCATCTTTGTCTCTTTCAAAGGTTCCCTCTGCCTCTTGAATATTATATATTGACTTTTCTCCTCTTCTATGTACAGCTTTCTCATTCAGAGACTTCATTCACTCTGAATGCTCGAAACTCACCTCTAAGCAGATGACTTCCAAAGCTACCTATTTAACTCTTGCCTCTCTCTACTCCAGTCCCACATTTCTTACTGCCTGATGGCAATTATCACTTGAATGTGCTACCATCATCTTACTCTTTCTGTCTGAAAACAAACTCACATCTCCTCCTTCAAACCACCAATGACTCTCCTATTTCTTCTTTTATTATCACAATGCTGAGTCATTCAAGACAGAATTTTAGTCATTGCCATTCAATCCTCCTTCTTCCTAAAATCAAATCATGTCAAATCTTCCTTCACAGTGTCTTTTGCATCTGTCCCTGTATTTATTTCCATTGAAAGCACCCTTGCTTAGTTCCTTAATGCCTTATATGTACACTACTGTAACAGCCTTCTAAGGAGGAGTCCATGGTCTCACTCTCCTCCAATTCTCTCAAAGGAGAAATTGTTATATAAAAAGATAATATAGAAAGATTATGTGAGAAATAAAAAATTGTCACAAGGTTAAAATTGTAAAAATGCTACTTTGGTCATATTTTGCCTTCAAAAAAAAAAAAAAAAAGATTGCTGCTTATAAAGCAAAATATAAACTCCATATAAGGCCCACAGAACAGGCTCTACCATTTATCCAGAAGTCGGCAAACTATGTATAACTCACAGGCCATCTCTAACCTGCCTCCTGACTTCGTAGGTTTATAAGTGGAGAAATATTTTCACATTTTTAAATGGCTGGGGAAAATATCAAAAGAATATTTTATAACAAGTAAAAATAATGTGAAATTCAAATTTCAGTACCCATAAGGTTTTACTGTAATACAGTCAAAGTTATTCATTCATGTATTATCCAAAGCTGCTTTCACCCTACAACAATCGCACTGAATAGTCACAACAGAGACCACACGGCCAGCAAAGCTGAAGATATTTTTTGTCTGGATGTTACAGCAAAAGTATATTGATTCCTGCTCTAGTGCAATCTACCTTTCAAGTCTTAGCTCTCTCCTACTCCATTGACACATACCCTCTATTCTAGTCTTATACCAATTTATTTATCTGCTGATTTTCCTGCCTTTATCCTTTGCCTCATACCATTCCTTTAGTCTGGAATGTTCCTTTTAGCCCCTTTTAGGATAACAAAAACTTCATTGGTTTTTCAGGGCTCAAACATCATATCTTCTAACAAAGATTTCCTTGATCACCATATCTAAAAATGCCCGCTTCTTTTATTTCTTACAATATATTCTAGACCACTTTAGTAATAAAAATCAATAAATACAATATACTTTATCTTCCCAACTAGACTGTAAATTTATAGAAAAACATGATCAGCATCTTATCATTTTTCTATTCCTTAGAGTAGTAAGCCTAGAACCCTGTTATATAGTAGCTATAATTCGTTAAAAACTTGTGATACTTTTAAAAGAAGTTATATGGGTGATTTATATGATTTAATACTTGTTAGGTAAAGAAGCTATTTGATTAATAAAACCTATAAAATTTTAAGCTAGAAAGCAGAGATAAACTACACACTTATTTAATTCTCGAAAATTAAGTTCCCAAAGTGATAAGGTGGTGTGAGTTTTTGAACTCAACACACTCTATCATGTAATGCTTTCTCCATAACTTATTCCAAAAATAAGACTATTCTTATGCATGTGTGTGATCTTTTTTTGGTTATGGAGACAACAAATGTGTGTACTCACATACCTCCTGTGTTGGAAATGTATTACATTTCATTAAGAATATCTTAAAAACATATGTAATTCCCAAATGTTAGACTAATTTGATTGCCAGGTTTAAGCACTCTCATAGATCTCAAAGAAGAATTACATAGCTCTAGAATTCAATGTTATTACTTACATAATTTGTTTATTATAAGTTTACCTGTTCATAAAGAAGGAAGGTCTTGTCTCTCTCAGATGTAAGAACCTTGACATTACCCTGAATTTCTGCCAAATGGCGCTCATATTTTTCCAGCATGCATTTAAGTTCTTCACGATCTCTTGTTGTTGTCTTCAAAAGTTCTACATCACAGTTTGCACCCTACAATTATGTAAGGAATTTGAAATTCTTCTGTGATATATAGTACTGATAGAAAGGTGCTCATATAGAAAGGTGCACTGATAGAAAGGTGCACTGGTGGCAATGCACAATTTCTACTTAAGAAAACAAGACTATATAATGAAGGGAAATTATAAAAAATAAGCTTAAAAACCACATCTTTTTAAAACAGTTTCATTCCAAATTTGTCTGATTACCTCCCAAGCACTACTTATGCTGAGGATAAAGTAGTCTACTGTGCCATCAAAGAGATCTCTGTCCCTCAACCCCTTTGATATAGCAATTCACACCAAATCAAAATGAATTATTTCCAGATTAGGTAAAACAAAGAATAAAAGCTAGTGTCTGAGCAACAAACTCCAAAATATTTGTAAGTTTCTAAAACCTACCCGGGCAGTTGGTGACAGGCGTCTTGGACTTTTAGACCTACTTCTCATCATCTTTCTTAAATTTTGAGCTTCACTCTTATAGTAATCTCTGTCGGCTTCCAAAGTCTTGACAAAGGAATCAAGTCTAGAAGGAGATTTATTTTGTGCTTTTTCAGTCTCTAAAATTATCTTGCCAAGGAGGAAAAAATTAGGCCATTATTTCAAGATAAACTATAGCATCATTTTCTTTGTAAAATTGAAAACAAACAGGATCCTTAAAAACATTTAATTTGGTATTTTTAAAATAGAACATTAAAAGAATTATATATCCATAATTTTTAAAAAGCACTTAAGATATCTTTCTTTTCCAGCATTTCTGAATATGCTATATTTTAACTAAATGCACCCACCCTTAAATTTGCTCAATAATTTTGGACAAAAAAATGGTAAAGATATTTTAGAGAGGCCAGAAATGTCCACAGACCTAGCAAACATCCTATAACTGGAATGGATTTGCTTTAGAAAAACATATGCTATTATTAAAGCATCTGTTATAACATCAAAGTTTTGTCTAATATTGTTCGATGAATGAATAAATTAACTGAATGCTTGATATTCCATATTTGTAAGCATTCCTATGAATTTCCATTCACTTTAACATATTTAGAAACACTTCTTGGACAACATTTACTTAACAATACTTTATTGGGAGAAAATTATAGATATACTTACAGACAGAGAGTTTTAAATATTTTAAATAACATTAAAATGTTTAAACAGAGCACTTTCCATTTCACATTGTTAGATAAATAAAACATTATCTGGAATTATGTAACAAAATGTATAGCTTAAAAATATTTATTACTAAGGGGGATAAAAGTTAATGTGTAAACAAATATACTTTATATTTAAAGAATTATTCAGTCATCATTTTAAATCAATTAACAGATACGGACATTAATAAAGCCAACCAAAAGTTGTTTTCTGCCTCTAGGAAAAAAAAAGAATAGTGATTAAAGAAGCAAAAAGTCACTCTTACAGATGGGGGTTCCCCTGTGTCCCTAGCAGCTGGTGCAGATTTTAGAAAACAAACATATTTTGTTGCACACAAAAAGATACAATTTTTTATACTTTACTGATCAAATAAAAATAATTCCTCAAGATATATTTATGAAAAATGTACTTACAGATTTAAGTCTTTTTATTGTATCTTCCAATACTATAATATTATTTTGCTGGCAAATGAGTTCAATCTGAAGAAAAAGTAAAAAAAAAAAAGTATTTAAAGATGCTTAAACTAATTGGGGAAAGAACATTTAAAAAAAAAGAAACCATTCAAAATAAAAACATGAAGACAATGAATATTTTAAAGAAGAAATAACCTATCTCTTTTGTTTAGCTACCTTCAATGGTAAAAGATAAAATATGATTTACCCAGGATGAAATAATAGCAATTCCCTTAAATTACTCAAAGTTTTGTATAAAATGTTAATTGATAATGTTTTACCAAATTATTCCCCATAAACTGGAACAAAATATTAATACTAATTATAATTCTGAAAATAATAGGAAGCAATAAAAGAATGACTAGAATAAAATAAGTTGACCCAAATTATCCCATTCAGAAGATTGCTTCCTCTTCTGAACTCATTTAATAGCTTAGTTCAATTTAGGCCACAAAATACTTTTTGTATCAACTTATGACACTGAACATACAAAGTTTTATAGGATAGCTACCTATAGTCATATATTTAGCATATGACTACATTATATGTTCTATAGGACAATGATTAAGTTTTTATTCAAAGCAGTAAATTTCTTTGCCAATAGCATATTCACTTAATATATTTTGCAATTCATCAACCTTTCCCTCACTATTCTAAATTTCATCCTGATCTTGCCTACATTTTAAATTTGAATTTTCTGGAATTATTATACTTCATTTGTTCTTTAGACCAAAGCTCTCTTGCACAATTTTTCTGGCAGTCATATTTAAAGTTAATGAAATATTAAGGGGTGCTATTATTTGGAACATTTTTCTCATAAGTAAAATACTTAGGAATAGAATATAACTTATGTGCAGTTTGGATAACTTTATAGTTTTGAATAGACAATTTTCAATGTTTTAATATGTACTGCTAAGTAGACACTAAAAAGACATGGTTCTACTTTGAATGTGTTAAGATTTCCACATTAAGTATAAAAATTCACTGTGCAAAACAGAATATCTAGTATGACACATTCTTATACAAAATAAATTTATACACAGACAACCTACATATAAACATAACCAATAATACATAAACTGAAGATTATGTCTAGGTATAACAAGGTATCATTAGGATAGATGTTATTTTCTTCATTTACTTTTCTATAGGGACTAAAATTTTACATAATAAACATGTATTAATTTTACAAAGATAAAAAAAATGTTGATTCCACTCTGAAAAACAAAATAACTGGCCCAAATGAAAAACTGCTAACCCAGTGTTTTCATTTACTTAACAATTAATAAATGCCTACTACATGCCTGGCATTGTGTTATGTGCTGGGTAAAGCAATGAATAAAACAGACAAAAATCTCTGCCCTCATGGAGTTTACATTCTAGCTAAAATAAATAAATAATAATAATAATAATGATAGTCTAAATATATGATAGTGATTGCACCCCTCAAACAATAATATAACAAGCACTCATGTTCTAGGCACTTGAGGTAAGTAAACAAAATAGACAAAGATTTCTGCCTTTGAGGAATCTTACATTCCAGCTAGAATAAACAATAATAAACCTAACAAATAAACTATACAGAATGCTAGAAAAAGAAGAGCAGAGTTAAGGATACTGGGAATATTTATGTAGGAACAGGTTGGTATTTTACATAGGGTGGTCAAGAAGTCCTCATTGAAAGGTGACCTTTGACCAAAAACTTCAGAGGAAAGGAAGTCAAACATGAAAATTTGGGAGACCACCACTGCAGGCAAAAGTTACAGCTATAACAAAGGTCCTATGGCAAAAGAATGTCTGGTAGGTTCTATGTATGGAGACTGGCATGGCTGGAACATAGTGAGGAAAGAAGAAAGGAACAGCAAAGTGCTACAGAGAAAATAAAGCAAGGGAGAAAGATACGGAGTGTGTGCAGAAAATGGGGGGGATGGGAGTGGGGGACAAAAAAAGACTTTACACAATGTCTTCCACACAGCAGGCTCTGAAATATTTTTTATTGAATCACATAAAAAAGTAACAATAATAAGGACTATCAGAGATTCAGTCCAATGATATAGCCCCTATGTCAATTAAAAATATAAATTGTATGAAGAAACTAATAATGGTAAAATTGTAATTCTGCTTCACATTTCAAAATATCACGTTCAATTATCTGGTAAACACCATAGTAATGCATGAATGACAACTCAAGATGAGAGAATAAACAGAGGCATATAGTTGAGGTTGTTTTAATGTATGTCCTTTAATGTATGTTTTAATGTATGTTGTTTTAATATTAGAAATTCTAATATTCCTTCCTTCAAAAGCTGGAGCTTAATTTCCCTCCCCTAGAGTGTGGATTACACTTATTGACTCACTTTTAAAGATGAGAAATTGCAGGAACTGACGAGATATAACTTTTGAGACTGGGTCATACTAAGCATTGCAGATCCTCCTTATTATCTCTTGGATTGTTGGCTGGGAGAGAGGGGAAGGTGGAGGGAGAACAAGCTTCCACAAAGAATACATGGAGCAACCCTAGAGAGAGGTCTACCTGGCAAGGAACAGGCCTGCTTCCAATAGCCAAAAACCATCTCACTGAGCCATCTCAGAAGTAAATCCTCCAGTAGCAGTCAAGCCATGCTGTGGCCATTATCTTTTTTGTTTTCTGAAACTGAGTCTCACTTTGTCACCCAGGCTGGAGTACAGTGGTGTGATCTCTGCTCACTGCAACCTCTGCCTCCCGGGATAAAGCAATTATCCTGCCTCAGCCTCCCAGATAGCTGGGATTACAGGTGCCCTCCACCATGCCTGGCTAATTTTTTGTATTTTTAGTAGAGACAGGGTTTCATCATATTGGCCAGGCTGGTCTTGAACTCCTGACCTGAAGTGATCTGCCCACCTCAGTCTTCCAAAGTACTGGAATTACAGGAGTAAGCTACCAGCCCTAGCCATTATCTTGATTACAATTTCCTGAGAAATAGTGAACCAGAACAACCCAGCTAGGCCACTCTTGAATTCCCAACCCAAGAGCCTGTGAGATATCAATATTTGTTGTTTGAAGCCATTAAGGTTTTGAAGTAATTTATTACATAGCAACAGCCAATAGTTAATAATGAAAACATTTTAATGAAGTAAATGATGGAAGTTACTGTTGACCTTTAAAAATAAGACTAAAAGTAAATAACTCCCAGTGAATACATTTAATACTATCTTAATTCCAGACAAACTAACAGTACCTTTAGCCTCAGACTCTACCTCTGCATATCTAGAGTATAATCTCAAACACTAAAAATCCATTCTTTTCTCCGCAACCAAATTAGAAATCACATTTCAAGTGCTACCCCACAAATAGGCAAGGAATCTCTCCCCCATAAATATAAACCTAAAATGCATTCTTAGGATGATGACAACACTCATTGGAGTTCATATCCCCAGTGTTGGTTATGCATCTTTCTATTCTATTCCCTATTCTACTCTGGGACATTCACTGAGGAAATCACTGGTGATTTCCTCATTTCAGGGCATTCTACCATCCTAAAGGCCTTATTTCCATTTTGTTCTCTCTTTATTGTTTCCCATGTTTTCCCTGTGTCAGCAATGGTATCTCCACTCCAAGACTGCTGCTTACTGCTTTTTTACCCAATAGCTTTCCAATCCTCAAAAACACCCAACATTCCAAATTATTTATGGATATCTATTTCTAAATACTCTGCTAAGCTGGGAAAAATTCCATCTGTAAATTTAATACAGTTTTAGGTAAATCCTAGCTCTTATATTTTAGATGTTTTCCATTCCCCAAATTCTCCCTTTTGATAGAAGAGAATTCACCCTGACATAGTACTTACTCTCTCTAGAAGATAAACCCTAACAACCTTTAAAAGTGATGACTTCTAAACAAGGCTTGGTTTCCCTCAGTCTGGAAAGGAATGCAGGTAATTTTTAATTTGAAGACAAAAACAAGGAAGACATAAAATTCTTCAATTTTGATAATTTTTTTTTTTTTGAGAGAGTCTCACTCTTTAACCCAGGCTGGAGTGTGACACGATCTTGGCTCACTGCAACCTCTGCCTCTTTATTCTTGTGTCTCAGCCTCCCAAGTAGTTGGCTTACAGGTGTATGACACTACGCCCGGCTATTTTTTTGTATTTTAGTAGAGATTGGGTTTTGTCATGTTCACTAGGCTGGTCTTGAACTCCTGACCTCAAGCGATTCACCTGCCTGGGCCTGCCAAAGTGCTGGGATTATAGGCATAAGCCATCATGCCTTGCCCAATTTTGATAATTTTTATAATTAAGACAGATTGAGCTCAGTTTATGATTAAAATGCAAATGAAGGATAATTATTCTTAAAAAAAAAAAATACATTCTACCTGAAGTAGCACTAAAAAAATAAGTTAAAAAAACTTTTAAATAAGTTAACAATACAAAGGTGTATTGAAAAATGTTTAAAATATTCAAGCTACTTTTCAATATCCTTCAAATACTTTAATAGCATCCATTTGAAGATAAATAATTCAAAAGTTAAAACCAAACCATTCTTATCTAGCATTTCAGTTAGTTCTAAGGACCTGTTTCAGACAACATAGTTAGAGAAGACTGTATCCTTAAAGTAATAAACTCATGTATTTAAGTACTGCATTACTATGGCCAGGCATGGTGGCTCACGCCTGTAATCTCAGCACTCTGGGAGGCCAAGACCAGCTGATCACTTCAGGTCAGGAGTCCAAGGCCTGCCTGGACAACATGGTGAAACCCTGTCTCTACTAAAAATATGAAAATTAGCTGGGCATGGTGGCGGGTGCCTGTAATACCAGCTACTCATGAGACTGAGGCAGGAAATCACTTCAGGAGGTAGAGGTTGCAGTGAGCTGAGATCGTGCCACTGCACTCCAGCCTGGGTAACAGAGGGAAACTCTGTCTCAACAACAACAAAAAAAGTTGCATTATTTGACTTTCCACTGATTTGAATTTATCCTTTAAGAGTCTAAATGAGAGGTTACTGAATAAAAATACATACACTCCTAGAGTTCATCAATTGGACTCAAA